AACAAATATGATAATTTAACATTATTCAACAAATTCACATAACATTTTAGAATATTTTTTAACTTGAAATACTCAATCATTTAAGCAAAAATAATCTACCATTATAATTGTATAGTTTACAATCCTATTTTTATTACACAACTTAGTATAGGACTTAAAAACAGTTAAAGAGTATGTATATAAAATCTTTTTTTGGTGGAGTTATTAGGATTATTTATACATCCCGTGAAACCGACTAATATTAAATGCATCAATAATTATGATAAAATATCAAATATCTCTTATTAGAAGGTTTCTTTATAATACTTTATAGAGGCTTAATGAATTAATTTCCTCCATCTAATAAAGGTCGATAAATATTAAACGCTCAAACAATTTTAAAACATTAATAGTATATAAAATAGTTAATGACTTTTTTCAACCAAAATAATAGTTTAAAGACACTTTCCTACTCATAAACTTTTAAAATATCACTTTATTAATTAAATTTATATTCTGACGACGAACAGAGAGCAAACTCAGTCTAGGTTGTTGGGGTTTTTGAAGAGGGGAGACCGATGAGTCTTTTGGTGGTGAAAGATTGATTATAGTGGTTGGGATTGATTGAAATTTGACTTGAGAGGGACGGCTATATAAATCATAATCGTTCGATTACCTTCGATTGATGGGGTCGATAGGAGTAGGGTTTGAGGGGTTTTGATGAATGATGATCGGGGAAGAGAATTGTGGTGGTATGGGGTCACAATAATGCAGGAATTGAAAACGAAATATAAATATGAGCAATAAAATAGCAGTGTTCTGAAAACCGGACCGGACCGCCCGGTCAGACCGGTTCGACCGGCAATCGGCGGCAAATCTGGTTCGGTATATATAAAAAACCGCTATTTGAAGTTAAACTAGATTGGACCGCTAGAATAGTGCCGAATCACGGTCCAATCGCCACCGGATTCCGGCATCTTTCGACGAAGAAAACACCCTCATTCGACAGACGACATCTCCATGACCAAACCCATCCATTTTCAGTCGTCGTCGTCCAGCCTTCGTCGATCGCCGTCCACCTAAAGTTTACAGCTTTACGCGACGTCGGATTTCTTTCATTGATTCCGGCGAGTTTCGACGCCGATGAAACTCCGTCGCACCACCATTTGAGTCGCCGTCACCTGCACATCAAAAGCCCCAAGATTCCAGCTTCGATTGGCCGTCGATCGTCGCTGCCGCCACACTCACCAGAATCTTCGCGCAACATGGGTGTTTTAGATATATTTCAAACCTTAAGGGAGTATTATAGGGGTGTTTTTGATGAATTTTAAACCTTTAGGGACTAAATATAATTTTATAAATTATGGTCCAACCGACCGATCCAACTGGTCAAACCGGTCAAACCAAAAACCGGATCTTTGAACGGGTCATTGTTCGGTCCGGTTCTCAGAACATTGTAAAATAGTATTTTAAAAATTTATTGATGAAAAAAAAAAATTAGGTCATTATTTAGGTAGAAAAAAGTCGTTTACTCTATATAAAAACCATCCCTATGACTAACCTCATAGGGTATAAAATAAACCTGATTTTAAAAATCGAAAATGATTTTTTTTTAAATAATTATAGGAATAAACAATATTTTTCGATAAATAAATCAGAATTATAAAGAATATCCTATTATGTACCAATTTTTACGGACATGTAAGAACATTACAATAATGTAATTGTACCAAATCCATTAAATTGTTAACAATGATTAATGAAAGTCAATTAAATTTAACCGTAGGGGAAAAGATCAAAAGAGCAAAGGAGCCACGTGGATGAGATCATGACCGTTACTTGGGTAGAAGTTGAGCTGTAAGCATCGTGCTTAAACGTGGGAAGCGAATATAATAAGAGGGTTATGAACAATTTATTAAAGGTTAAAAAAATAAAAGAAAATCAGTAAAATAAAAAATAAAAATAAAAAGCACAATTCCCAAAGAGAAAAAAATTATTAAGAGCAGAGGAATCCGGCTGTAAACTTGGACACTAATGTACGAATCACAGAGACAAAACCTGCTCTTGTAGATCGATTCTTTTTGGGGTTGAATTTTCAATTTTCTTAATTTATTTCTTCATTTATTATTTAATTCTCAATAGTGCGATGCCGTTTGACCTTTTTATTTGCACCCTCTTCCATTTTTTTACCTGGTTCTGATTTGTGAATAATCATATAAATTTTATTAAATAATACCATATATACTAAGTTTTTAAACAAAGTAACTGTTGTGCAGACACTTCCATGTAGTTCAAAGCCTCACAGGCTACTGCAAAACTTACAAACAAAATTTGGAAATCAGGTGAGTCATGGATGAATTAGCTTTCCTCCTGGCGTAGCAAATTGTATCATCAGTCCTGACAAGTCCTTAACCACTCAGATCTTGCAAGTCATGGTGTGGTGAAAAAAAAAAAAAAAAAAAAAATTCCTACACCTGGGCAAAATTTAGGTAATATATCTGGTCTATGACCAGGAAGTGTATAATTAAATTGCATGCTAACTTGGTTTTCAATTTTCGGCCACTATTTTGAGGAAATGAAATCATTGTTGCCACTTAATAGAAGGTTAGCCATCAAATCAAATAGGTGGGCGTGCACAATCATCTTTAGAGTGAAGAAGAAGAGAAATAGTTGATTGGTTGGACTCCAAATAAAGAAGCTAGCAAGGGATGAAAACCAAACCAATAGAATTAGCTAACAAAGGTTTGGCTTGTTACAGAGCCTGATGCTTTGGTTGGTGCCACTAATTAAGAAATTAACCCTGCATTTGAAGCTCAACCAAACAATAGGAACTTATACAATTCTTTAAATAAAAGGATGTTACGTTTTGCTAAAAATGAGCCAGAGTTATGAACAGCTTAATTGCTCTCTATTATACGGATCTGCAATTAAAATCGAAATGAAAACATTATCTACCTGAAGAAAAAATCCTGAATACCAGAGGGTTGTCACATAATCCTAAAATGATATTTAATCTGGGGCGTCAAAAGCCCTGCTTATTAACCTCCAAAAGAAAGGATATTATACATCCTGGAAAGAAGAACGGCTGCATTACTACAATTCACTTGTTCCGACTAGCTATAAAGTTTGCGACAGAAATGTCAATGTTTTCCATTGTGCAAAGAAAACGTTAGTATCTGGTAAATATCTAGAAAGTAGAGAACTTGAAAGATGCAGTTCCAAACCAGTGTAAGGGCTGGAACATATGCAAAGATTGATTTTCACGATTTTTAAGTAAAAAATTGAACACCTATAGGTGATATTACCAAATGCATGAAAGGTTTGGAGAAAAAGAAACAGTCTTAGTCGAACCAATTGTTTCACCCGTGTAGAAACATTTCTTACATACACTACAAATTAATTAGGTTTTCTCTTTTAACCATTTGCTTACATAATCTGAGACACACCAAAAAAAAAAAAAAAAAAGGCATAAACCTGAAAAACAAAAATAAAGCATATTGATATGGTAGGTATCCGTAAGTGGAAATGTTACCTTTTCCTCAAAGGCAGTGGCTTATCTCCTCCTCTATATCACACATTCACACCAGTAAACAGAACTTATTCTAGTTCTACTTCAGAACTTATGTTGGAGCTTTTGTTTGAAATTTATTCTTCTGAAGTAGCTTCACCTTCTAAACGATCCACTACTATCCCCTAGCTCATTCTCTCAATACTTGGGTTATGTACTTGGTACAAAAAGCAGACTTAACTGGACTGCTTACACATAGATTGTGTATGAATCATCTTTGCCTTGCAAAAATAATGCCTCTATAACCAAATATACACCAGAGTGAGGTCGTTATATGGCAAGTAAACAATCTTCACAAGGGAAGAATTGCATTCAAGTTCCTATTTCGTCTAGATGACAGAAACCTTCCGCTACAAGAGAAAGATCTCTTCATAGACACGGGGCCTTTATGCAGACATTGCCCAATTGAAGAACTACCCGTCAGTCTAGACATGTTTGAATACGCACCATCTTGCTTCAAAACAATAGCTGAATAAGATTTCTCAGCATCGTTTGTTTGATCAAACGAACAATCTCCTGATTCAGCTGGGCAGAAATCAGACAAACCAAGACATATGATCTCAGCCAATGAAGAATCCAATGAAACAGACCTCCTAAATGCTTGTACATCATTCTTCACAACCTTAATATCGCCTCCTGAATTATCAACTGCTTCTAAAACACCATTCCCATTAAAATTCTCACCATCCTTCAATACTCCTTCAGCACCAAGGTGCAGTATCTCATCCTCCTCTGTTCCTGTCCTGTTTTCACGAACACCCTCACCGTTTCTCTCCCGATTCTCCCCCAACTCACAATCAATTTCTGAACTCTCAGCATGTGTAGACTCAATTAAATTAGAGTCACCCGAATTTTGGTCCACGGTAACCAAAGGAGAAGCACCAGTTTCAGAGACTATATAGGCACGACACATGGGACAATTAATATGAGAACTTAACCAAGTATCAATACAAGAAACATGGAAAGCATGATTGCACTTAGGCAATAGCCTAACAGTCTCATCTTCTTCAAACTCATTCAAGCAAACGGAGCACTCAGTTCCTTCAATCAACCCCTCACCTTTCTTGTACTTACAGACGGTAATCGAATTTATAATAGACTGTTGCAACCCCGCGGTGGTGATGAGCCATATGGGGTGATCAACTCTGTTTTCATCAAGAAACTCTTCATCTCCACCTGGCTGCTGAGTCCCATTATTTGCACGCTCACGACTCTTAACTATGACAGCATAGAAAAACATAAAAATGAAGAAGGTGGCCACTAAACAAATAAATATGATCAAATAAGGTGAAATTGTGAGTCTATGATGATGAGAAGGAGGTGGCGGCGGGGGATAGTAAATATCTGGAAAAGGTTCACAGTTATAACCGCAAGCAGGATCACAATAATATGTGCAATCTATAGAACTATTTGATGTTTCTGGGAAGAGTTTTCTGTGTTTCATTGCCATTAAAGTGGTTAAAGAGACTATGCAGGAAAGTGAGAGAGAAATGCAGGAAGATGATTGTGAGAAATGAGTTGTCTTGTTTGAATTGCAAGAGAAGAAATGAAGGAACTTAAGAAATGCTTTGAGTCAATTTCAAAGGTTAGTAAAAAGTAGAGACTGAAAATGTGTTTTTTCTGTTAGGCTTTGGCTTTAAATCTAGAAACTCCATTTCCATGTGGTCCTACGGTGACTGGGGGGATCCGCTTAATCACGTAATTATGTCATTTAAAGTACGTTTATTGGAGGGTGAGAGCGTTTACGTAAGAAGAATTTTTTAACATATACAAACAAGTACACCAAGGAATAGTTGTATTAAAAAAATAAAAATATGCTACATAAAATCTGTGCGTAGTGATAATCTATATAAAAATATAGTCTACATAATCATAAAAAATTTAATTCCCAATGAGACAGTTATAAATAGGAAAAACTTTACATTATAATAAGTTATAATTTTTCTAATTCTCGTCTTAAGAAAAATTATCTCCACATAGTAATAATTATCTGTATGTTGCAAAAAAATATATGATATGTTACATTAAAGGTTTAAGATAAAATAAAATCTTTATCTAAAGTTGTTTGAGATAATAATTTATGTTTTAGAATTGTTATTATATTTTTTAACTTGTAAGTAATTATTCGTTAGCATGAACATCTTCTTGTTGAAGCTAAATATTTCTAGTTCTCAAGTATGTTTAGAGCTTCTTAGTACAAAACTTTTTGTATTTCTGTACTATCATCCTCATGATTATTTCTTTTATCTTCTTGTCTAATTATAGTAATGAGTTCTTCTTTAGTTAAAGCATACATGACTTATTGCTTATTTGAATGATTAAGAAAGACATTAATATCCATTCAATTAGTGTGTGAAGTTATCGAATTTGATCACTAAATTCTACAATGACTCTCTGATTCTTCTCATCCATTTTATTTGTAACTTACAATTCACCGACATCATGGATCATAATTTGGTAATGATTAAAACAATTGGCAATAGTATGTGGCTTCACATCAATTTGCTGCATAATTTTGTAATGATCAAAACAATTGGCATTAATATGTGGCTTCACATCAATTTGCTGCATAATTTTGTAATGATTAAAACAATTGACAATAGTTTGTGACTTCACATCAATTTGGTCATGCAGCAGCTGCATTTACAATTTTATCAAGAATACTTATCTTTGTTGGTTTCAAGACACGATATTTTATCTATTTCAAAAGTAAACAATTGAAGCGTTGAATTGAAATCTTAATAATATTAAAATATAAATTAAAATCCTAATACTATATTACTAAAATATAAATTATAAAAAAAAATTTGTTATCATACCTCTATTAAATTATAACCTCTTTATAGTAATAAAATTAATTAATTCTACCATTATAACTATAAACACTGTTTTACCAATGTTACTCCATAAAGGCAGAGCCGATAAATAAAAAAGGCATTATCATGTAAACTTTGGTGAATTGTCGCTATCAGGATGTCTATCTCATACCTTAAAAGTTGGTGGGTTCAACATTGTCTCTTACGAGTTGCCGTGGAGTCAGAGTCTGGGTTGGTAATAGATTAATCTAACTGAAACAGACTTATTGCAATGATTCATCAGCGGTGGACCAAACCTAAATTATTATCTACTTATTCATTCATTTTGGGTGTGAACCTAATTGTATTTTCTTATACTATAATATTTGCCTACGCGACATTGACAAGATGAATTTTCATTGAAGCTGCAGTATAGCTGTACTGTATCTTGGAGTCACATCCAAATGCAATAAATTTACAATATGATTTGGATTGTGCATATATGCTGAGTGTCATCTTTTCTGCATAAACATACTACAAACAATTGTTTTAAAATGCATCTAATCCTTTTTTTTTTTCTTATAGAAATCACTAAAAATCTTCGTTTAAGTTAACTAAATAGTTCAACTAGGAACAGTCTATATTTTGTCAAAATACATTCAAACAGTCTATATTTTTCATGTTTTAATAATATTGAGTTATTGACCATTGTTGGAATTGGGAGTCGATAAATTGAAAAACACAGCATAAAAAACGTGATGAACTTTGAAGAAAACTAATTTTATTTCTTTTAATCTGAATGACTCAAAAATAAACATAAACTTTCCACCCTTTTTATAGTAAAAGAAAATAATTCTAAACCTATTTCAACTCAAAGAGAAATTCTTCCTAAATAAAAAATCTCCTAAAACAAATGTTCTAAAACAAGAATTTAAGAAAATCTAAACTTCCTAATTCATCTCACAATAACCGGAAAACAAATATTCCCAATCTCAAACTCCTACAACAGGACTTTCCTTAAAACTCAACTTCTGGAGTCAAAGCCGCGTTTGTGCCAGGGCATGCCACTTTCCTGTGCCATGTGTAACGAATCCCACATTGAAAGCGTATTGGAGAAGTCCTGAGCTTATAAATGGGTTGAGTCTCTCCACCTAATAGGTTAGTCTTTTGGGTGTGAAACTTCCGTGGTATCAGAACAGACTTGATCCGTCTTTCGATGTCTCACCAAGCACCCACACAGGGGTGTCCACGTGTGATTGTGAGTCTACAAGAGAGTGAGGTGGATGGGTAGACAAGGGGGCCCCACCTATAACGAGGGCGTCACAAGATTGGGTGGGGGAAAATGTAACCAATCCCACATCGAAAGTGTATTGGGGATGTCTTAGGCTTATAAATGGGAGAGTCCCTTCACTTAATAGGTTAACATTTTGGGTGTCAAACTCCCAGCCCGTGACACATGACATAGCGTGCTCTAGAGTTTTTCTAGAAATCGACACCCTTCTGTGCCGCGGCAAACTCTTCTTTGGCCACAAATCTGAAATCTTTCTCTTAACGCTGCATCCTTTGTTTCTTCAACTTGAGTCATGTTTGCATATGCACCAAAATAGGTTCAACTCTTAACAACCTTTCTAATTCTTGGACCCTGTTTTGGACATTTTTTTTAAATAGGTAACAGTGCTTTACAATATTCAATTGAAAGAAAAAAAAAAAAAAACATACCATGTTTAATCACGATATAAAGTACTAATTAAAAGTAGAGGGAATCAAATGTTAGACTTCGAGTTCACTTTGGATGCTTAATTCAACAATGAAGACGGCTTAGGAAAGAAGCTTAACATACAGTCCAATAATCATTATGTGAGGTACGACTTTCCCCAACAATTCCAAATCAAATTCTCTTTATCCATACCATAACCTTATAACCAATATTATAAACACATTTTTTTTGGTAGTGCTGTTTAAGCCAAGCTAATGAACTGGAACTGGCTTACCCCACCTCTTTTCTGGGGTTAGATACTTAGATCCTTATTTGAACTTTGTACTGTATTTATCTGAAAAGATAAAAGGATATATATATATGTAGAATTATAAAGAAAAACACTGTGCTTTCTGTCAAATTTTGTTTAGTATGAATAGATTTGAATTCAAGTGACCTACGAGGCATGGGATGGAGTTTAGAGAGAGGGAGCGTCGGTGTTGTATGGATTTGTTAAACGTAAATGAGGTATAAACGATTCAGGGAAGGAAACATCTGAGCTACCATTGAATTGCAGTAATTCATTAAAGCAAAGGGGTGAGAAAATGAAGAAAACAAGTGCTAAATGACTCACAAAATTTTTATTAACTAATCACTCTTTTATCTTTAAATTATAAATGGAGCCCTTAAGTGGGGTTTTGAAACTAAAAGCATTTTAGTTTTTTTAAAGGTTTTATGGATAGCAGACACAACCCCAGTCAAACATGACGATGAACATTTCCAGTCTTGAGTCCCTAATAAAAACCTGGCCCAGTGTTGAAATTAAAGGTCTGTTAAGCCTGTGCTAATATACCTCTAAAGGGGCCTGTTCTGTATCAGAAACCAAATATCATGAAAATGGGATGATTTAAAGTTGTGTAAATGACACACGTAACCCCATTTGAGAAATTTTATTGGACAAGCATATACCCCAAGGTCGGCCCCTAGCTGATCAGAAGATGTTGTATCATACCTATACCTAGATCATTTTCGATGTAATTTCCATCATTTGCATATTACAAGCAAGCTCATTGTGAGTTGCTTCTGACCTTAGGCACATATCCCAGCCAGCCACCTTTATATAGGTCAAAACCCAAGCTTCAAGCTTTTGAATACAAGTTAATGCTCCTATTTTCAAACTTTCCTTTGAATACTTTATAGCGTCTGCGTGTCTACTCAATCCACCCCTCTCAGGCCACTTTTTTTCCAATCCATTATCACAAAAGTTGAATTTGCAAGTTTTGGCCACCTAACACATCCGTGGCATGGCATTCTATATGTATCCAAGAACTTGTTTTTCCTCATAATTCATCCTAAGAAGGGAAGAGTGTTCACTCAACGAAGATAAAAGTGTGCACATATATAGGAAATTATATGACCATAACTATGTTTCTCACCTGACAATAATTCAGTTTCTTTCCAATCAAGTGCTTATTTCTGTTCATATACATAACACCTAACCATTTAGTTTAATGGAAACAATAAATTATTGCAATGAATTGTGCATACATTCAAAATCAGCAATGTACATTATTGTTTATATATAAATGGGAAATCTTTACTTCTGCCTGCTTAATTGGAAGGTCATATATAAATATGGTTGAAATATCAACCATGTGCGAGTTAACGACATGTTCCCACCCAAAAAATGTCTCATTAACAAATTCATACCCACCCACTTTTTAAATACCCTTTTTATACCCAAAGCATAATTTTATTAGTAATTTTCGCTGTGAGGAAGGGCAAAATGGTCAAAAGGCTATTATTAATAAGAGTAGACTGGTCAACAAACATTGGTAGTCGGAGAAGAAGAAAAGAACAAAGGGACAGTGCACGTTAGCAACATTCACAGCCGACGGTTTTTACCTTTTTTTGGTTGATCTCGGCGTTCAAAATCACTTCCGAGACCACCCATAGAATCCCCATCACCTCCTCTACAAAGCCCAAGCCTCCATTTGCCGTCATCACTCACCATTTCCCACCACCACTTCCATTCGGCACTGCCAACTCTTCAAGTCGGATTTCTGATCGATTTCTTTGCCATAAATTCCCCTAGACACT